CACTGAGCAATGTAGCTCATCAGTGATGACCAGAAACGATCTGGTCATCACTGATGATAGCTGAACGAAGTGGCTTATCATGTGGAAATGTATAGCAGTAGCTTAATACTCTAAACGCGTGATGTTGATTCTAAATGTGGAGGGAAAAAACGACCACGGTGAGAAAGAGAGAACGCAAACTCCTAATATGCAGCAGGCGTCGGGGTGGGGATCGAATCCACGACATCCTGCATACCAGGCGAGGGAGTTAACATCTAATCACTCCAAATATACACTTTAAAATCTACATCTTACACGGTTACGTTTATATACAACGTGAAACACATTGATACAAAGCCAAGAACAGAGGCAAGGCATCGCACCCACGAGCATCAGAGGGCAGTCAAACGCACGAATGCGCAGTACACACTGACGGTTCATGTGGGACGTTCGCTCGCTGTCAAAAATAACTCCACGCGTTCGTCAAACACTTGCTTGGAGCTTAAAAGTAACATTAATCGACGTTTCAGGCAACGGCCCTACTTCATAGGACATCATTGAGAGTTAAAGCAGCACTGCGATTCTGAATGAGTGCGTGCGTGTTTGGATTTTTACTCTGATGATCGTTGCTTGAGTGAATGTAAGAGTTTGGAATGGGTTCCCACGCACGCGTTTCTCTCTGTGTGCACGTGGCAGAGTTTAGCGGATCAACAGCAAATACATAAATAACAACGCCAGCTTCTGCAGCGCCGCAGCATGGCGAGCCGTTCTCAAATCACCGAAATGTTTTGGCGACGCTACGTTTGGCAGTGGCGCACAAATAACAACAAAACAATCTCAGCACATTCGTAGAGTCGCTCTACAACTTCTCCGGGCTCGCGATGTGCTGTGGAGAGGGGCCGTTGCTCGAAATGTCGCCTGTTATATACAGTACTACCTTCTAAGCCCTAAGGCCACACAGTGTCATGAATAAACGTGAGTTTTCATTGCTAAAAAATTAACCCGTAAAAACAAAGTTTTTCACTATAAATCCTTTATATGCGTGGCGGCTAGAGTCCTGTCGTCCTCTGGCTTGAGATGGCTGCCACCTATGGGTCAGATGAATGCCTGCCACCATTAAGCAATTGGTAATTAAATATAATTTATTTTTTCCTAAAAAGTGTAAAATTTTGGAAAAAACATTTTCACGAAAATACATTGTCACGCACAACGAGTCTGTGTGCAAAATGTCAGCTCGATTGGATCACGGGAAGTGGATTAAAAAACGACCGAAAGATTTTCACGGTCGTAAGCAAGCAAGCAAGTGAACTTAATATAAAGGATTTAAAAATCCGTGTGTATTTGCACGTATTGCATTTCAGTTTCTACGTGTCTATGACAGTGTAACTCACACCACTAAGTAGCTATGAGTGTGTTTATATTAATCAATGATAAGTTAATGCGTCTGTATTTGTATCTAAATGAGAAACAGCAACTCACACTACTGAGTAGCTATGCGAGTGTGTTTATATTTACTACCCAGACCCAAGCAATGAGGTTGTCTATAACATGACACATCACACTATCTACTGTGTACAGCTCAGATATAGTACACGTGTGTGTAATGTTGTTACATACCCTCACCATGTACTATAGCTGAGTTACATACAGTGCATCGTGTGCTGTATAGTGTGATGTGTAATGTTGTTACATACCCTCACCATGTACTATAGCTGAGTTACAGACAGTGCATAGTGTGCTGTATAGTGTGATGTGTAATGCTGTTACATACCCTCACCATGTACTATAGCTGAGTTATAGACAGTGCATAGTGTGCTGTATAGTGTGGTGTGTAATGCTGTTACATACCCTCACCATGTACTATAGCTGAGTTATAGACAGTGCATAGTGTGTTGTATAGTGTGATGTGTAATGTTGTTACATACCCATACCTGTCAACCCATATGGGTTTACCCGTATTGTTTCTTGCCGCGGTTGTCCCACCTGATGACGGACGCTTGTGTTGCGCCCGAAACGTCGTGATTTAATTTATTTATACCTACGTGACTTTACCGAAAGAACCAAAGAGTATTAAATTATTATTATTACTTGACGCTCACGCCAGTTGGTTCAGGGCACGGGGTCGGCAACCTGCAGCTCTGTAGCGGCGTGCGGCTCTTTGAGGGACGGCTGCTTCGTGAGACGTTTGTATTTATCAAGGACCAACACCACCACGGTCTCTCGTACGCACACCACGTTATTATTTATCAAGGACCACCACCATGTCTCGTACTCACACCACATTCTTATTTATCAAGGACCACCACCACCATGTCTCGTACTCACACCACATTCTTATTTATCAAGGACCACCACCACCGTCTTGTACCCACACCACGTTGCATTGCGGCTCTTGAAATAACGTGTTGGGTTTTTTTACTTACCGAATTGTAACAAACAAAGAACAATGTCTCGTTATTTTGGTTTCTGAACCCCTTGCTTTAGGGGAATCGGTTTTTTAAACCCTGAATACGATCTGACAGCGGTGTGGTTTGCTGGGCAAAACACACAGCCTCACCCAAGCCAGTGTTTTGTTTACGTGACAAACCTTTCTCATTGATTGTGTCGGGTGGTGGCGGGTTTAACGACACGTTAAATATTTACGCGATCTAACCCAAAAACACGTTTAATGAATAATATTGGTCGCGATTAGCCTACTTATATTTTTAAATCTGAAAAGACAGTACGAAGCGATAGAGGGACAGTACGGCTCCCCGGGACCATGGTTACTAATTGAAGTGCTAATGATGATTGATGGGACGAGCGTTGACAGGGTCACGTGAGGGGAAGCACGTGGCCCAATGGCCGTGAAGTGTAACAAGGGCGGAGATTGAATAAGAGCCGGTGCGAACCGGACCTGGGAGTTGTTGTTGTGGGGCATCGCCGTCGTCTCCATCGTCTCTGAGTAGTCTTGAGGCTAGAATTACATTGTCTCAGAATAGAGTCGTCTAATTACCCAAGTGTATATCGTCACTCGCGGTTACTCGATAAGTTGTCATAATAAATATACATGAAGAATAAGACGGTGTCTCTTACAAATGTAACGCCACGTCTACACAGGTGAGCATGGGCTGCCGCGGGGAACATTCCAGGGCGAGTCTAGTGCCAGAGGTGTGGACTCGAGTCATGTGACTTGGACTCGAGTCAGACTCGAGTCATGAATTTGATGACTTCAGACTCGACTTGGACTTGCATAACAATGACTTTGTCCCACCTCTGTCTAGTGCTGTTCATATTTTAACTGCAGGTGAAGTCAGATCGTTTCCTTGTTCGTCGTGGCTGCTCCGTGCTTTTTACATCTCGCTTCGGTGGCTAGGAGATGTTAACTACCTTGCCTGGTATACAGGAGGTCGTGGGTTCCATTCCAACCCTGACGCCTGCTGTATATTTGTAGTTTGCGTGATTTTTTTTCTGCTTCTTCTGGTTTCCCCTCGACATTTAGAATCAACGTCACGCGTTTAAAGTTTTTGGCTGAAAAAATATCCACGCGAAAAGCCACTTTGTTGAGCTTTCAATCGTGGCCAGGTCGCTTAAAGAAAGAGCTACATAGCTCAGTGGATCTTACCTGGTGAAATATAAAGAAATATTTTTAATAGAATTTGCCAAAATCAGCCAGAGTAAAGGATGTAAAATGTTGACATTGACAAGAATAGGTGATGAAGACTTCTTTTGTTTAGGTATTGACGATTTTAAACATTGAACAATATATTTAATATTCTTGGTTCTTTCGGTAAAGTCACGTAGATATTTTTTTTTACCGAAACAATCAAAGAGTATGGATTCCTGCAGTCACGACAGCTTCAAATCAAGAACGATGAGAAGTGTCTGTCGTCAAAGTAAAAAAGTCACATCGGTGATAAAATCACGCGTAGTGAATTGAAAGAGACATTGATGAGGCGTCAACCATTAATGCTGTACAACAACAACAGCAGCAGCTGCTGTTGCTGTGCGTCAACGAGCTGCACCACCCGCACGCCGTTCGCCACAACGCGCTACAGACGCAGTCTATGGCGACACGGAGCCAAGGCGAAGTCGTCGCTGCACTCCGACAACAAAGAAAGCGGTGGATAAAGCAAAGCACTTTGTGGCAATCACCCGAATGTCAACAAGACGAAGGGAACTACTAACTTTTATATTTATATATACTGTAGATGTCCATAATGCAGGTTGATTGGGTTAGAATAGATGGTTAACCCCCGATAAAACTCTATAATGGTTATTGGTCGCGAAAGCTTTACGTGTTAAACTACTGTTAGGTGTTCTAGATTTGAAGCTTTCGTGACTGCAAGGATTCATATTCTTAGGTTTTTTCGGTAAAGTCACGTAGGTAAAAAATTATAATTAATAAAAGTAAAATAAAAAATAAAATAAAAATCACGACGTTTCGGAGGCAAGACGGAAGCTTGTGTTGCCTCCGAAACGTGATTTTTATTTTATAACTTTTTTATTTTTTACCTACGTGACTTTACCGAAAAAACCTAAGAATACTGTTAGGTGTGTTATGGTGTTAAACTACTGTGGATGTGTTATGGTGATGTGTTAACTTTCCTTGTACTTGCGCTACTATCATGTTTGTGTACTGTTTGTTGTTGTGACGTTCTTACCCCGTGCTCCTACTGGACATCTGTTACAAAGAGCTTTACAGGTCATCGGATTCCTCCTGCAGTATAAATATTCCGATTCTGATGTACGTCAGTGCAAAGATGCCAAATTAACATCTGTGATAATAACAAATCGCGTTACCGGCAGCTGCTTTGATCCACATTGCTCACCGTAGCTTTTGGGCTGTTTGGAATGTACCACTCACTCAGCGTGTGGGGGGGGGGGGGTAGCAACAATATCGCATTAACTTTTACTTTAAAACATTAAAAAAGCAAGATACAACATTATAAAATCACTGTAACTGTTATTATAAAATGATAAACAAATTCGAATTTGGATCGACGGAATATGGTAAAGTTTTCGTTTTAAATTTGTGAAATCATGGCATAGAATCACCCCTGTGGTTGGTAATGGGTTCTCTCTCCGTGAGTCATCGCGGACATATTACTTCCGTGTTCGTTTTCGCTGTGTGAGCTGCTCACAGCGTCTCCTGAACAGAACACACATCGTCAATGTTAATCAACATCTCACGATATTATAAACACAAAGTATTTTTGTTGAAATAGATTTTCTGAGGCACAGTGAGGAACTATTCTGGGTGCATCCTCGGGTCATGGCGAGCACAGCTCCCGCTGAGAACGTGGACCGAGAGTTGACCTGCTCCATCTGCCTGGGCACGTTTGTCTGCCCCTCCACGCTGAGCTGCGGCCACTCGTTCTGCCTCCAGTGCGTGGAGGACGCCTGGAAGGAGACAGACTCCTACTGCTGCCCGCAGTGCTGCAAAACCTTCCCTCTACGACCCGAGCTAACCAGGAACGTGACGATCGCCAACCTCATAGAGCAGCTGCGAGTGACTGAGACCATGGCTGCTGCTGCTGGTGGTGTTGTTGTTTTCTGTGACAACTGCCCAGAAGGCAAGACGCCTGCAGTGAAGACTTGCCTCAAGTGTGAGATGTCCTTCTGCACGGAGCACCTCGCGCCTCACCTGGAGAGAGCGAAGTTGAAGGACCACGTCCTGATTTCACCAGATGAAGAACGCAAGTGCAAGAGGCACAAACAGGAGCTCAAGTTCTACTGCAAGCAAGACTTCAGCATCGTGTGCAAGGACTGCACCATCGCAGGTGACCACATTGGTCATAAGTTCATCACACTGGAGGATGAGCATCAGACACGGAAGGTGAGTCCCGCGTGGGTTGAGTGGGAGCCCATCAGGCGTGAACAATACCATTATCTGAGCCCATAAGAGTGCAACAACGTTTCATTAAATCAAGACCATCAGTTCTTTGGTTTTTTCGGTAAAGTCACGTATAAAAATAAAATAATAAATTAAATAATAGCATACGACGTTTCGATTGCAACACAAGCAATCATCATCAGGTATAATGAAATAGCGACATAGAATATAACCAGAAAACTATAGACAGACATATAAGCAGACAGATATCACCAAGATACATAGAGAGAGCAACCCAGGTACAGAGAGAGGTGATCGTCTCTGTGGGGTGGCCTTAAATAGACAGAGGGGGGCGGAGGCAGAGAGAGGGAGGGGGTAGGGAAAACATTTACATGTCAATGAGTACGAAGGGAGGGGAGTAAGGTAAGCAGGCTTAGAGGGAGACAGAACACACTAAATTAAATAACCTAGCAAAGTATCGAAATGTTATGTAAAACGACACAGAGAGTCGGTCAACACACAATTAACGCATTGCCTGGTCGATTACGTATTTCAAAGATTGCTAAGTTAGAATTTAAGTGTGAAAATTCCAAAGAAAGACAAAACATAAAAAAGAGGAACGGAGACACACAGACAGAGCAGAACCTAAGAACGATACAAAACGAGTGTAGACAGAGAAAATTACACTAAATATACAGGCAGAGAGAGAGAACAAGAAACCCAGAGAGAGAGAAAAAGGTAAACTTGGAACTTCCCCGTAGAAGTGGTTCAATCTTAATTTTGGAGCTTTCGTGACTGCAGGAATTTTTCTTTGGTTTTTTCGGTAAAGTCACGTATAAAAATAAAATAATAAATTAAATAATAGCATACGACGTTTCGATTGCAACACAAGCAATCATCATCAGGTATAATGAAATAGCGACATAGAATATAACCAGAAAACTATAGACAGACATATAAGCAGACAGATATCACCAAGATACATAGAGAGAGCAACCCAGGTACAGAGAGAGGTGATCGTCTCTGTGGGGTGGCCTTAAATAGACAGATGGGGGCGGAGGCAGAGAGAGGGAGGGGGTAGGGAAAACATTTACATGTCAATGAGTACGAAGGGAGGGGAGTAAGGTAAGCAGGCTTAGAGGGAGACAGAACACACTAAATTAAATAACCTAGCAAAGTATCGAAATGTTATGTAAAACGACACAGAGAGTCGGTCAACACACAATTAACGCATTGCCTGGTCGATTACGTATTTCAAAGATTGCTAAGTTAGAATTTAAGTGTGAAAATTCCAAAGAAAGACAAAACATAAAAAAGAGGAACGGAGACACACAGACAGAGCAGAACCTAAGAACGATACAAAACGAGTGTAGACAGAGAAAATTACACTAAATATACAGGCAGAGAGAGAGAACAAGAAACCCAGAGAGAGAGAAAAAGGTAAACTTGGAACTTGCCCGTAGAAGTGGTTCAATCTTAATTTTGGAGCTTTCGTGACTGCAGGAGTTATTCTTTGTTTTTTTCGGTAAAGTCACGTATAAAAATAAAATAATAAATTAAATAATAGCATACGACGTTTCGATTGCAACACAAGCAATCATCATCAGGTATAATGAAATAGCGACATAGAATATAACCAGAAAACTATAGACAGACATATAAGCAGACAGATATCACCAAGATACATAGAGAGAGCAACCCAGGTACAGAGAGAGGTGATCGTCTCTGTGGGGTGGCCTTAAATAGACAGAGGGGGGCGGAGGCAGAGAGAGGGAGGGGGTAGGGAAAACATTTACATGTCAATGAGTACGAAGGGAGGGGAGTAAGGTAAGCAGGCTTAGAGGGAGACAGAACACACTAAATTAAATAACCTAGCAAAGTATCGAAATGTTATGTAAAACGACACAGAGAGTCGGTCAACACACAATTAACGCATTGCCTGGTCGATTACGTATTTCAAAGATTGCTAAGTTAGAATTTAAGTGTGAAAATTCCAAAGAAAGACAAAACATAAAAAAGAGGAACGGAGACACACAGACAGAGCAGAACCTAAGAACGATACAAAACGAGTGTAGACAGAGAAAATTACACTAAATATACAGGCAGAGAGAGAGAACAAGAAACCCAGAGAGAGAGAAAAAGGTAAACTTGGAACTTGCCCGTAGAAGTGGTTCAATCTTAATTTTGGAGCTTTCGTGACTGCAGGAGTTATTCTTTGGTTTTTTCGGTAAAGTCACGTATAAAAATAAAATAATAAATTAAATAATAGCATACGACGTTTCGATTGCAACACAAGCAATCATCATCAGGTATAATGAAATAGCGACATAGAATATAACCAGAAAACTATAGACAGACATATAAGCAGACAGATATCACCAAGATACATAGAGAGAGCAACCCAGGTACAGAGAGAGGTGATCGTCTCTGTGGGGTGGCCTTAAATAGACAGAGGGGGGCGGAGGCAGAGAGAGGGAGGGGGTAGGGAAAACATTTACATGTCAATGAGTACGAAGGGAGGGGAGTAAGGTAAGCAGGCTTAGAGGGAGACAGAACACACTAAATTAAATAACCTAGCAAAGTATCGAAATGTTATGTAAAACGACACAGAGAGTCGGTCAACACACAATTAACGCATTGCCTGGTCGATTACGTATTTCAAAGATTGCTAAGTTAGAATTTAAGTGTGAAAATTCCAAAGAAAGACAAAACATAAAAAAGAGGAACGGAGACACACAGACAGAGCAGAACCTAAGAACGATACAAAACGAGTGTAGACAGAGAAAATTACACTAAATATACAGGCAGAGAGAGAGAACAAGAAACCCAGAGAGAGAGAAAAAGGTAAACTTGGAACTTCCCCGTAGAAGTGGTTCAATCTTAATTTTGGAGCTTTCGTGACTGCAGGAATTATTCTTTGGTTTTTTCGGTAAAGTCACGTATAAAAATAAATTAATAAATTAAATAATAGCATACGACGTTTCGATTGCAACACAAGCAATCATCATCAGGTATAATGAAATAGCGACATAGAATATAACCAGAAAACTATAGACAGACATATAAGCAGACAGATATCACCAAGATACATAGAGAGAGCAACCCAGGTACAGAGAGAGGTGATCGTCTCTGTGGGGTGGCCTTAAATAGACAGAGGGGGGCGGAGGCAGAGAGAGGGAGGGGGTAGGGAAAACATTTACATGTCAATGAGTACGAAGGGAGGGGAGTAAGGTAAGCAGGCTTAGAGGGAGACAGAACACACTAAATTAAATAACCTAGCAAAGTATCGAAATGTTATGTAAAACGACACAGAGAGTCGGTCAACACACAATTAACGCATTGCCTGGTCGATTACGTATTTCAAAGATTGCTAAGTTAGAATTTAAGTGTGAAAATTCCAAAGAAAGACAAAACATAAAAAAGAGGAACGGAGACACACAGACAGAGCAGAACCTAAGAACGATACAAAACGAGTGTAGACAGAGAAAATTACACTAAATATACAGGCAGAGAGAGAGAACAAGAAACCCAGAGAGAGAGAAAAAGGTAAACTTGGAACTTCCCCGTAGAAGTGGTTCAATCTTAATTTTGGAGCTTTCGTGACTGCAGGAATTATTCTTTGGTTTTTTCGGTAAAGTCACGTATAAAAATAAAATAATAAATTAAATAATAGCATACGACGTTTCGATTGCAACACAAGCAATCATCATCAGGTATAATGAAATAGCGACATAGAATATAACCAGAAAACTATAGACAGACATATAAGCAGACAGATATCACCAAGATACATAGAGAGGGCAACCCAGGTACAGAGAGAGGTGATCGTCTCTGTGGGGTGGCCTTAAATAGACAGAGGGGGGTGGAGGCAGAGAGAGGGAGGGGGTAGGGAAAACATTTACATGTCAATGAGTACGAAGGGAGGGGAGTAAGGTAAGCAGGCTTAGAGGGAGACAGAACACACTAAATTAAATAACCTAGCAAAGTATCGAAATGTTATGTAAAACGACACAGAGAGTCGGTCAACACACAATTAACGCATTGCCTGGTCGATTACGTATTTCAAAGATTGCTAAGTTAGAATTTAAGTGTGAAAATTCCAAAGAAAGACAAAACATAAAAAAGAGGAACGGAGACACACAGACAGAGCAGAACCTAAGAACGATACAAAACGAGTGTAGACAGAGAAAATTACACTAAATATACAGGCAGAGAGAGAGAACAAGAAACCCAGAGAGAGAGAAAAAGGTAAGGTTCTGCTCTGTCTGTGTGTCTCCGTTCCTCTTTTTTATGTTTTGTCTTTCTTTGGAATTTTCACACTTAAATTCTAACTTAGCAATCTTTGAAATACGTAATCGACCAGGCAATGCGTTAATTGTGTGTTGACCGACTCTCTGTGTCGTTTTACATAACATTTCGATACTTTGCTAGGTTATTTAATTTAGTGTGTTCTGTCTCCCTCTAAGCCTGCTTACCTTACTCCCCTCCCTTCGTACTCATTGACATGTAAATGTTTTCCCTACCCCCTCCCTCTCTCTGCCTCCGCCCCCCTCTGTCTATTTAAGGCCACCCCACAGAGACGATCACCTCTCTCTGTACCTGGGTTGCTCTCTCTATGTATCTTGGTGATATCTGTCTGCTTATATGTCTGTCTATAGTTTTCTGGTTATATTCTATGTCGCTATTTCATTATACCTGATGATGATTGCTTGTGTTGCAATCGAAACGTCGTATGCTATTATTTAATTTATTATTTTATTTTTATACGTGACTTTACCGAAAAAACCAAAGAATAACTCCTGCAGTCACGAAAGCTCCAAAATTAAGATTGAACCACTTCTACGGGGAAGTTCCAAGTTTACCTTTTTCTCTCTCTCTGGGTTTCTTGTTCTCTCTCTCTGCCTGTATATTTAGTGTAATTTTCTCTGTCTACACTCGTTTTGTATCGTTCTTAGGTTCTGCTCTGTCTGTGTGTCTCCGTTCCTCTTTTTTATGTTTTGTCTTTCTTTGGAATTTTCACACTTAAATTCTAACTTAGCAATCTTTGAAATACGTAATCGACCAGGCAATGCGTTAATTGTGTGTTGACCGACTCTCTGTGTCGTTTTACATAACATTTCGATACTTTGCTAGGTTATTTAATTTAGTGTGTTCTGTCTCCCTCTAAGCCTGCTTACCTTACTCCCCTCCCTTCGTACTCATTGACATGTAAATGTTTTCCCTACCCCCTCCCTCTCTCTGCCTCCGCCCCCCTCTGTCTATTTAAGGCCACCCCACAGAGACGATCACCTCTCTCTGTACCTGGGTTGCTCTCTCTATGTATCTTGGTGATATCTGTCTGCTTATATGTCTGTCTATAGTTTTCTGGTTATATTCTATGTCGCTATTTCATTATACCTGATGATGATTGCTTGTGTTGCAATCGAAACGTCGTATGCTATTATTTAATTTATTATTTTATTTTTATACGTGACTTTACCGAAAAAACCAAAGAATAATTCCTGCAGTCACGAAAGCTCCAAAATTAAGATTAAGACCATCAGTATGGGATGATTCTCTCTACACGCTCTTTTCTTTCAAGCTGACTTCCTTGGACTCTTTTCTGGTGGGGGGGAGTTATAAAACCATCACTGTGGAGGGCTCCATGTGGAGTAGAGTTGAGAGGGAGCTCCTCTGGTGGCTTCATCTCTTGCAGAGTGAAGTCGGAGAGGAGACGCAAGTTGTGGAAGAGATGAAGAGGGAGACGGAGGCGTCCGTTGGATGGATGGAGGCCACTCGCAAAGACGTGCAGGTACCACGTGTGGGCTCTGTGACCCCGTGACCTCCACCCTACATGGAGTCTGTGACCTTCGCTGTGAGGATAACTCCGCAGTTTCAATTGAACTCTGTTAGTCTTGTTTCAATGTGTATTAACTGTGCAGGATATTGCATTATTATGCCTATGGGTGCTTTAAATGTAAATTTTGAAAAATGCAAAGTTTATGTACCAAAGAAAGTTCATATCTCGCGAAACTGCAAAGCATATCGGAGGATAACTCGAGTTACTAACTATGGGTGAGATCAAATAACACAGTATGGAGCAACGACTATATTGAATTATGAACTATAAATTAAACGAGTGAAGATGACGATGAAATACGACAGGACATCAGCTGTTAAATGCTTTGAATAAACACAAGAGATGGGACTTCAAGGGAGTACAGGGAATGTAGGAAAACAGTTTTGCTCTCATAAAACGCACCCAACTCGAAAGCAAACACAACATATAGTCAATGATTACTTAAAACTTTTAAATAAAATTTGCACGAATCGTGATGCATTCTTTTGGTGGCATACATTTTATTTGTAAGATAATTAAGTAATTGCGTACATTAAAATAATACTGTCTTCAAAATATATTGCTATGACCCTGTGTGTGTTGTCGCATGCATACGTATCCATTGTAACGCAAATCCTGCTGTTAAACAGGACATCAATTCAGCTGGTGATATTCATAATTTACACAAAATAACCACGTTGTGGAGTACATAAGTACAGGGGGTTCCCGATATACGTCGCCTCGATATATGTTGTTTTGCTCTCACGTCACTGACTGCGAGGCACCTAACGTTAAATGTCTCTGTACACAATTCGTTGTACTGTACAACTAGTATTTTGCACTGGTCCCGCTGTTTTTTCAGTCCCATTGTTTTCTCTTCACGTTATGCGTAGTGGGTCCTCTTTGTAATCAGCGTGGACTTTCTCTAAAAAAAATTGTTGCAACCCTTCAACAATCAGAAGCAAATCTTGACTTAGAGCTTTCATGACTGCAGGAATTAATATTTTTTGGGTCTTTCGGTAAAGTCACATAGATGGGTTAAAAAAAATAAACTTTAAGTCAAGATTTAACCGCCTCTACGGGGAGGGTTTCCACACAACTATAAGATCTTTTAACAAACTTCGAGACAAGAAGTCTCATCTGATCGAGTCGCTCACATTTCTGAAGAAATGCTGCGACACTAAGGTAATACCGAGCTCCTTTACATTGACATCTGCTGCTGTCACATCTCCTAATGCTAAACGGATCTTGTTCAGGGCAGGCTGGCCTTGATCTCAGAGAGAATAAGATTACTCTGATTTGAACTAGATCTTTTGGACAAGACTCTCTTGAATCTTGATTTGATGCTTTCGTGACTGCAGGAATCCATACTCTTTGGTTCTTTTGGTAAAGTCATGTAGATAAAAAAAGACGTTTTGATCGCGACGCAAGCGGTCGTCCTCAGGCGAAAATCACACTTAACGTTGACAGAAAACATTTCTACATCTGATTGCGAACATCTAGATAACATGACAGCATCTTCAGCCGCTTCAATGTACGCTAAATGCAACGATAACCTGATTTCCAAGTTCAACCTCCTTTCCAAGAAGAAGCTAGATCCACACGTTAAAAAGTTAAACGTTGACAAGATTGTTCTCAGAGTAATAGTCTAATTTCCGACAGCCTAAAATCGGTTCTGGCTAAAGGGTTGAATTTCGCAGTCACCCATAACACATCCCAGTGAATGATATTATTTCCCAGGTTGATGTAGCGCTTAAGGGTTTGAGATACATTACTGCAAACGTGGCAAGATCGGCAATCGCTGCAATCCTCAAAAACGCTAAGATACCTATCAGCAACATCAGTAAGGATGAGCGTTTTGAGCTTTCTCAATTAAAAAGAGGGATGACATTGCTATCTTCTCAGCCGACAAAACAAAGATACTACATCGAAACTAACGTGCAAATCTCCTGGAGATAGTGAGATGTCCTTAATTAACAATACCAAGTGAGCTGAGTTAAGTACGGTTGAGGTGGTCTTACCAGTGAATGGCTGTAAGGTCTCCGACAGAAATCGGGCAAGTTTTAATTTGTATTATTTAATTGTTCTATCTACGTGACTTTACCGAAAGACCCAAAGAATATAACATTAGTCTGTTTAGTCATTCATTAGTGGCTGATATGTAAGCAGCATCACCATAGTCAAACAGTGGTACAATGATCGCTTTACAATTTTCAGGTGTAATCTAATGTTTAATCAGGTGTAATCTAATGTTTAAATATATAAATAAATGTTTTAATGATTTTCATTATGATGTGATCAAGATGGGTTTGAAATATAATTTGAAATCAATATTGTAAACCTCTAAGTATTTGAAGCAATTCGTCTGTTCAGTGTTGCTGTTTTTGATATCTGTATTAAGAGAATGAAACTGGAATTTATTTTGAAGAAAAGACCATGATCTTCAATATTTAGGATTTAGGAGTTATTTTCGTAATGCCAATTGATGTTGAATTAAATGGAAATCGTGTTGGTAATTCTGTGACTTCGTTTGGAGATTTATTCCATACTAACATGACAGTCTTCTTGGTTCTTTTGGTAAAGTCACGTAGAAGGGAAATAATAAAATAATAAAAATAAAACATTAAATAATTCTCACGACGTTTCGGCCACAACGCAAGCAGCCGTCCTCAGGTAAAGAACAGGTCTGTCGGAAAGACAGCGTCCTCAGGTGAAGAACAGGTCTGACTTTACCGAAAAAACCTAAGAATAAGGAAAAACTTAGAAAAAACTTTCAGTGATATTCGGAGTCTGTAAGCGCAGAAATCAACACTTAGCGACACAGAGCCGTTGCCTCAACAAAACTCGACACTTGCCTGGTTACAGCTGCCCCCGGAGTGTGCGTTGCAAGACTGACTTGTATTATTTTGGGTGCTGTTTTTATCGAATTTCTAGCTCGTGTGGTTAATTACCTAGGACATATTATAGCCCAACGTTCTCCCATCTTTGCATGCATGGTGCGTCCATTGGGTCAGCCTGAGTTCATGTCTGGTTCTGGCTCTGCAGACATCCTGGCACCTGATCGATCCCGACCGAGGTTATCCCACAATTTATGTGGGCACAGATCCACTTAATTGCCCCAAGGTGTGGTGTGTGTCTGTAACCTTATTTATTGTGAAACGGCCTTCCTTCCTCTTTTGGTCTGCTCATCTTAAAATGGATTCCTGTTGCAGCATGCAATGACAGCCACCGTGAAGACAAAGGTTGGGCGGGCTCTGGTTATATCCCTGGAATACATATTATTTTGGTCGTGGAGAATTTACACAATTTGCATTATGTATATTTTATGAATAATCCTTTGGTTCAATACTTCAATACAAACTTCCATAATTTATTATCAAGTTTATTTGCTTAACCCAGATCTCATGACAAGTATGTATTGACTAGCTTGTTTGCCCGTACTCGGACAGAAGCTGTAATATTTATGAAAAAATTGGGCAGAGTATAATTGTATCTTGTGTACATTTATTGTCAGTGAATCTTGCACGAAAGTATGTCATCAAACACTTCACTGCATTTCACTGTAGCACTGTATTAATGGCAGTGATTCTTGCACAAAACTGTCATAAAACACCTCACTTTGTCACTGTAGCACTGTATATAATGAACCTTAAATTTGTTCAAATTCACTGCTCTGAAACTTAATTATCTTCTGTTTTCGGTCGCTGGGGTTGAAATAAAGTGGAATTCGATACAATATCTGGAAAATCACCGAGAAATGTCTATTTTACCGTAATGTAGAAACATAAATTAGACTTACCGTTCGTTTCAAGTGCAGAAGAAATAAATAAAGACACCAAATCCACTTTGTTGCTGTGTAGAATAATGTATTAGATTCACTTTCAATAAAGAAACGTCAAACTTAAAGCGAATATATGCGACAAAAAAAATTTCAGCTCGACTATCTTCAGCGTGAGTGTAAAAATGCATCCGCTCATGAATACTAATGACCGGGGGGGGGGATGGGTGCGGCATGTGGAGTGACGTCACGCGCGTTACACACACATCCTTGCCTCATTATAGTAGTAATAGGTGGAGTTTAATAACACATGCAACTAGTCGTATTCAAAAAACCCTGACTGTGCTGTATTATAATGTAACAATACATCCAATCACGAAAGTTAACGTTTAATATCATGATGTTTAAGAATATTCATATGCAGTGGTTGGCATTTGAACGTTTCAACTTTCCAGGCACCAGGGTTTGTTAATTCAGAGAGTGAAATGGCAAGGGACATTCTTGTCTCTTTGCCCTGTATTTGCCCTCGGGTGGAAACGAGTTTACGGTGTTTTGCCAAGGGTCCTTCCTTGCATAAATGTATCTCTCAAAAATGTCCGTGGGTCACTCCTTGCCTATGCAGGAGTTGTTCCTCTATAGCCTGTCATGAACGTGTTCCTCCTTTGCTGCATGAGTTAGGTCAATTCCTGGGAAGCAAATATACTCCGGCTTCAAGGCCCTCCTCAGGTTTGGTTATTCTCATCATATCCATCTGATCAATATCTCTTGTTTCTTTTTACCCGCTTCTCATTCTATTGCTGGTTTGGCTTCGTCATCTGGTTTTCCCGACTGTCGGCATGCAGGCGAACCATATAATATATATATCTCCAAGGAGCCATGCCATTAAAATAGACAATATCACACTGAATTATTTTTTTTGGAAAAGGCATATATACAACAATGGTGAACAGCAAAGGCTTTTGACAATTCGAGGAATAATGCAAAGCAGTAGTGGCCTTTATGCAGGTTACTGAATAGAAAATGTAATACAGTAAAACATTGGATTGCGAGTAACTTGGTCTGCGAGTGTTTTGCAAGACGAGCAAATTTTTTTAATATTAATTTAATAAACGAGCGAGGTCTTGCAATACGAGCAGTACGTGTATACACTTTGTCTGCCGAGCGTCACATGATCACAACTGACATACGAGTTCTTTGATATACGAGTGCTTTGGATTACAAACACGTTTCCGGAACGAATTATGCTCGCAATCCAAGGTTTTACTGTACATACACAATTGCGGAGGTGGTGCAGTAATTGTCTTTAAAACCAGACAGTTTCCTGTGAAGGAGAGTGTGAGCTTTTAAGTCGCAGTCTATTTGTGATTTAAGTATTTTTTTCGAATATTTTATTAACTAGGGTCTTCTTTGGAGCCATGTTATACACTGGACGAGTTAAGAGCGGATTTCCACTCTCGCGGAAATGTACCATTGGTAAATGAGAAGCTTAAAATGTGTTAGAGGTTTATAAATGAGATCTGCCACCACCGCAATTACAAATGCAGGCAACTCCTCTTCTCCCGTGGATGATGCCTTAATTGATGCTCGCTTATCCAATACATCCAGTTCAGATATGGGACTAAACGATAAATATGGACGATGGCTTTCACGACGAAATTTTAGGATTGATGTACGAAGAGGAAGAAGTGAGTTATGTGAACAGTGGTGAGTTAGGATACATTTTACTCTGATGTGTTTTGTCAAAGATATAGTTCCTGCTGATCCAAAATGAGATTTTAATCCATCGACAATGTCTTGTTTTGTGAACAGTTATTTGCAATCCAATGAGTTTATTTGCAAGAATATTTAGCTTTCCTATAGTTTGGTGGTGGTAAGAACATTTTGCGTTTATTGCTTGGTGAGTATACCTATATGCTTATTGTTTTAGAGTTAATCTAATTAGAAAGGGTTTTTTTAGATGTTTTTTCTTTATTCCAGACAATTTCTCTAGTTTTCATTAATTTTGAAATATAAGGATCAAACCAAGGTTGTTTTCAAATCAAGTTGGTATGATCATTAATAAAAATTATGATAATCACGGCTAATGGAGAACGTTATTTTATCTCATATTTATAGAGTATGTTATCTCAAGGTGCTTTATATATTTTAAAACGCGGTAATAAAAATAAAGTTCGAGGACACGGGCATGTACCGGCCAAGAAATCCGTGACCGTAACAGAGAGCACATAGGGGTCACAAAAGGGCAGGGGAGGGATGAGAAGGATTGGAGGAGCGAGGGGAGTTGAAGGGAATGGGTGAGCTTTCAGAAACGAATGAAGGGAGGTTAAGGAGGGAGACTGCTTAATGTGCAGGGGAATGGGGGAATCATGAGAATCCGCGTGTCTTGACAGGGATCTATGACTAGGTTGAAGGAACGAATCAAAGCCGAGTTCACCCGTCTGAGAACGGCACTCGATGAGGACGAGAGGACGGCTTTACATCGCGCGGAACTGAAGGAGAAGGAGCTGCTGTCCCAGATCGACAAGAACATCGCTCATTACAAGCACGAGATCAGCGAGCTGCAGGACGCTGCCACGCGCCTGCACACTCTGATGGATGAGAGGGACTCGCTCACGTTCCTGAAGGTAGACCACTCGCAAAGCCAGGGCGAGTGCCCCAGTTTGACAGAGCCCTCAGCAGTAGAGAGGCTTCTGGCCCTAGGGTTTAGATGCTCGGAACTTGAGAACACAGCTTCAATAACAATAATAATTTCACTTAACCACGATAGTGGCTGCATTTGAAATCCCAGTATCTTCTCATTTACTTATGTTTCTTATCGCATTTCCTGCAGATAATTTCACATATTACCATGAAGATAACATTCAGATGAAGTTCAATTCTAAATACCTGATGTTATACTATTTAATCGACGATTTTACAAACAGTTTCTCTGTTTCTATCAGGTATTCGATATCCACTCTCAAGCACCTTTAATGTACGGACATGAATTGCCTCTGCAGAAATAGACATTGAATATAATTTTTAGAGGATGTCTCAAGCCACGGGAAATGAGCACTGCCAAAGGCTGAAGGGAACTCCAACCCTGGCTGAAGGGTTGAGATGCTCAGGTCTTGAGAAGAGTGCTTCACTTATTAACCAAGGATACAGATTGGGCTTTCACGGGGTCATTAGCCAAGACGTGGGATTCAGATTCCGGTCATGGGACTCGCAGAGAGAACTCGAGCGATCCCTTGGGAGTGAATGGAGGCAGCATCACAGTGACGTATCTCTCTTTCTCCCACAGGGGCACCTGGAGGAGACACGCAGGTACAGATCCTCAACTATCACAGAGCAGCACCACGAGGCGGTGCAGTGTGGGAGCCTTGAGCTGTGTGTTTGCTTGTACAGTGATTTTAATCACCGTTGTGATTGTAGTTTACTTGGATAGTGATTTGAATCCCTATTGCATAAATTAAAGATAACGTCAGGTGGTTTTGATGTAACCGTACGTTTGAATAACTTTCAACGATACTATTCTAGCTCATTTCTTTAGAACTGTTTTGTTTAGTTTGTCATTCCCCTCACCTTTGATTAGTATGGTTGGCTACGTTCGATGCGTAAGATGCTAAATATACACACATACATATTTATGTGATGATGCTCTTTGTGATAATATGGACCATTTGCTCTGTGTGCTAGTGCTGTCTGTGATTATCTGTATGTGGAACATCAGCTGTTTATATTGAGCCAGTGTTACAAACAGTGATGCGTGTGACCATGCTAATGTTGTGTAGAGTACTGCATATTGCACAAGGGCTATGTATGGAGCATGAACTGTGTGTTACATAGGTTCCATTTAATGGTGCTGCATTTTAAACGTTGTCTGCATGTGTAGATGCTCTGCGTGTGAGTGGTGATGCTGCGTGGGAGTTGTGATGCTGCATGTGTGCGGTGAAGCTTTGTGTGTGTGTGGTGATGCTGCGTGTGTGCGGTGAACCTTTGTGTGTGTGTGTGTGTGGTGAAGCTTTGTATGTGTGTGGTGATGCTGGGTAATGCTGATTTAACACGTAGGCTTTCGCGGCCAGTATTGTTCATAATAAAGGTTTTTCGGTGAGATCGCGTTATTTATAAATGTGTCGCAACCCTCCACCACCCGACACGGCCAATCAGTAAAAAATGTGTCACATTGACAAAAGACAAATTAGATTTTAGCCCACCGGTGTGTTAAAGAGTGGATCCACAACATTTACAATTTGAGTGAAGCCATCCACCTGCTTCCAATCTTAAATCGTGCAGGATGACGTCATCATTGTTGAACCCCATCGGGTGGTCGAGGGTTGCAACACAGTTATAAATAACTCGATCTAACACAAAAAACCTTTATTATGAGTGATGCTGATTGTTTTTTGCTAATCGTTGTCACAGGGGAAAGGTTCCTAAGAAGTCTCTGCCCCCGGCTCCTACTCCACTGGACACCTCCACGATCCGCTCCCTTGAGAGAGTCATGCACAGACTGCTCCCTCTCGTCTGTGAGTTCATCACTCCTGCCCCAGTGTGGAGGGGAGACCTGGGATATTGAAACAACTGATTCCAGATACTCGGGTTCTCGGTTCAATCCCCAGTTTTAACTCCTACCCAATGTACTCATGTGCTGTGAGTCTAGCCTTAGCTTAGTCTCCAATCGTTGTACAACAAACACAACCCTCCATTACTAATAGCACTCTCACCCAGAAGCGAGGGCATCAATGTCCGTGTCCAATCATGATGCATATGACGCAGTGTTAATGCCTGAGACTCGCAGAAGCAGAATAAGTCGTTTCGGAATGTCAGGATTCATTATTCCTACACGAGGCTGTTACATTCAGGCTCAAGCAACTTTTATAAGTCGGAGGGTTCAGGTGATAATTTGTATCACTCTGCACACCATAAGATACGTTACAGTTACACAGGTAGTATATTATACTCTTTGGTTCTTTCGGTAAAGTCACGTAAGTCGAACTAAAATAAATCACGACGTTGCATCCATCATCAGGCGAAAAATGGTGAGAAAGCTGCTACTTGCAAGGGGTTATATAAGTTTCAGAAGGATTAGCAAGTCAAAGTTAAAGATAATAGAATGTTAAAGTTAATAAGAGATTAGCAAATTAATGTCATGTCTATGTATGACAAAATTAGCCATGTCGGCAGCTGCCTGTCGATGTGTAACAAAAAACAGCCATGTTGGTGGCAGCATGTCTATGTTTCAAAGTTAATGAGAATAGCATGTTAAATTTAATGAGATATTCGCAAGTTAATGTCAGTCTATGTGTAACCAAAGAGTATGGATTCCTGCAGTCACAAAAACTTCAAATCAAGGTAGCATATTATCTGGATGTTAATGTATAGCACACACCAGTGACGTGCGGTGAGGTCAATGGCTGGGGAGGCACTGGCTAGTGTCAGAGCCAGATTCACACGCTGAGGGGGGCGTGTTAGACACGTCCCACTCAGTGAGGCAGATGTGATAGCTGCCTCCCCTGGTGCTTTTTCATTGCAGTTTCATGACGAGACCAGCGAGCCTAAATATATTTATACACGTGTAGTGCTGTACTTTACACGGACAACTTCTTGCTTTTCTGTCTCGATTTATTCAATCATTATTGCTTGAGGCTGCTCTATCCCTTCTCAGGCACCTCAAGCATTATTGGGATGCGGTGTTAATACCCGAAGCTCACAGAGCCGCACTGGGCTATCACTGTGGCTGACCATGTGTATCACTGTACATACATACAGATACATTACTATTGCCCATGTTTTGTAATACCTCTACATTAACATACAGCACACACACGAGTGTAAAGGAGTATTACATGAGCTCTATTAACACTACACGTGTTTTATTATTGAATGAGGATGTTGTTGCTATTCTGTGTGTGAGAGTTTTACACAGAGACACTGGCTGAGATTTTGAGGATTCATTATTAGTACTTGAGGCTGCGATATCCAGACTCAAACACAGCTAGGATTCATAGGCTTAAGTGGTAATGCCTAAAGCTCTCAGAATTGAAGGCACCTTTAGGATTCTGTGTTAATATTCAGATTTTTATCAGACAGCCAGCCAAGTGCTTGACCTTGGTTGACTGTGTAAATCACTATGTAGACAAAAAGGGAAATCACTATAAAACATGTATCAATATTCCTACACGTTAAAATATAGCTCATTCGCACAAATGAGTGTAAATCACTTACATTGGCACTATTAACACTACACGTGTGTATGATTGAGTGAGGATGCTATTGCTGTTCTGTGTGTGAGTTGGACACACACACCCGCTATGGCTAAAATATGTTTAGGTTTCAGTATTAGTACTTGAGGCTGCAAGATCCAGACACCTTGAAGATTCTTAGGATTCAGTGTTATAGCCTGAAGCTCTCAGAATCAAAGGAAAGTTTCGGTTTTATTAGACAGCCAGACCAAGGCACAAGCCGAGTTGCCCGTGTAAATCACTCCACAGGCAACAACAAGTTACAAAAGAACACGTACATAATCGATACGTTGATATAGACAGATCCCTCCTATTGCCTTAACACAAACTGTTGGGGCAAGTGCTGTGAGCGAGCTCCTATGAAGGACGGCATGGCACACAGTGGCGAAATCGTGCAGCCCTAGCGCGCAGAGCACCTCGCAAAGCCCCACAGGGGCTCGGCCTGCGGGGCCACGTGGCGGGGCAGCAGATGGCGGGGCAGACAAACGCACAGCTGTACTGTACTTCTGTGCTCTCGCCAGCTGTGCCAGATACCTTCGCCAACGCGCGGTGACCGGCGTGGTGAAGTATGGTCAAATATCCCCCGTGACCCGCACGGTGTAGGGAGGCCCTCATCCAGCAGTGGATTGACAAAGCGCCCGTTACATGTCATCACACCGATAGCTACGCATTACAACGTTGTATAACAAAGCTCATTATGAAATGCTCTATTGTAGTGTACGTGCGTGTTAGTGCACGAGTGCTGTTGTTCTAGTGATGCTGTTGTTACACGGCTACTGTGATTATCGTTACTGCAGACGGATGCTCACCGACTCTAGACCCAAACTCGGCCTGCAACTACCTCCAGATTTCCTCGGACCTCAGGACGGTGACGCTGACCACTGTCTCCCAGGGTCGCCCCGATCACCCACACCGCTTTGATGGCTATGCACAAGCCCTGTGCTCCGAGAGCTTCTCGTCGGGTCAGCACTACTGGGAGGTGAACGTGGGGGGTGCGGCGGAGAGCTGTAAGGTTGGAGTCGCGTACGGGACGATCGCACGGAAAGGGGGTGGTGACGAGTGCAGCCTCGGACAGAACGACTCATCCTGGGTTTTACGTAAAGATAACAACAGCTGCTCAGTGTGTCATGGTGGTGTAGAGACCTCAGTGCCGGTGAGGGATCCTCCCCGGAGAGTCGGGTGTCACCTGCACTGGGAGGCGGGGCTGCTGTCGTTTTACCGCGCCGACTCCATGGAGCTGCTGCACTCCGTCCACCACTCGTTTAGTCAACCGCTCTACCCCGCACTGTGTGTGTATGGTGTTAATGGTAGCTCAGTGAGGATTTTGGATCTGAGTCGTGCGTGCTGAGAGCACGGAGTGTGAGCAGCGCAGAGAAACGGGCACAACGCACAGACTCATGCACACAAAGACACAGATCCCCCGTGTAGCCTTAACAGGCTGCAGGGGTAAGGGCTGGTACAGAGCACCTATGAAGGCCAGCACGGCACACAGGAGGTTGGGGGGCCAACACCATGCCCAGCCGCCTTTGTCTTCCCAGTGTTGACGTTTGCACACCGCACCAGTGAATCATGTGAGGCTGAGTCGACCTAGGGGATGCCCATGACCGGTTTACAAACACCATTGATAGCGATTATTTGAATCGGTCTTGGGTCTCGCCTAGGTCGGCTCAGCCTCAAATGAGAACCTGCTGCGGTGTGTAAACATTATTCCTGGGAATACAAAGGCGGGTCTCTCACAGACTGGCTTTCATAGGTGAAACTCACTAACAGCACTTAACTCAACATTATTTGAAAGCTATGGGGGGGATCTTTGTCTTCGGGTAAGTGGGTTGGTGTGTAAGCCTTTGTGTGTCTTTGTTATTGTGTTTGTGTCTTTGTTACTGTGTCTTTGCCTGTCTTTGTGTGCGTGTCTTTGTTATTGTGTTTGTGTCTTTGTTACTGTGTCCGTGCGTGTCTTTGTCTTTGTGTGTCTTTGTTACTGTGTCTGTGCGTATCATATAATTGCTATCAATGATGTTTGTAAACCGGTCATGGGCCTCCCCTAGGTCGACTCAGCCTCAAATGACTACCTGGTGCGATGAGTAAACATTACCCCTGAAGATACAAAGGCGGGTCTCTCCCAGGCTGGCCTTCATAGGTGAAACTCACTAACAGCACTTAACTCAACAGTATTTTAAAGCTATACGGGGGATCTTTGTCTAAGTGGGTTGGGGTGTATGCCTTTGTGTGTTTTTGTTATTGTGTTTGTGTCTGTTACTGTGTCTGTGCGTGCCTTTGTGTTTGTGTATTTCTGGGCGTGGTGCTGCCTACCCACTCCCTCGTGTCACAGTGCCGGCCTTCATAGTTGCTACTCGCTACGAACAGGACTTGCCCCAACAGTCTGTTAAGGCTACACGGGGGATCTTTGTCTTTAGTGTATAGAGGGGCATGTGCGTAGTGTGGGGTGGAGCGGTGGTGCAGTGGTTAGCGCACTGGTGGGGGAGGGCGGGGGGAGCCAAGCTTCTCTCTGACGTCATCGTCCCTCGCACCGCGCGCCGCGTGGCGCTCAACGCCGAGATGGCGGAGCTCCACCGCGGGCGTGCTGGGAACACGCGTCACGTGACGCTGCGGGGTGACGCGCGCCGTCCCCCTCGCGGTCACTCGCTCGTTGGGCGATAAACCCGGGGTGGGAATGGGATGGCATCACTCGGGGGGACTACTCGTGGTGTGTGCCGAGCGTCACTGGGATAAAACATTTTTGTTATAACCATGGGGTCGAGGGACTCCTCCATCCACCAAAGTAGGCATAGAGATAGAGAAGCCATTTTAACACATAGTAATAGTAAGAGGGCTTTCGCCACCAATATTTTTCGTGATAAAGGTTTGTTTTGTTTAACGTTTTAATTATCTGCTTTCAGACTGATACTTTGGACATCCAGCCACACCCGACAAAAATTGGAATTGTCTTTTGTCTTTGAAGTCTGTTATGTAATTAAGCCTGATATATATCTAGACTCCTAGAGTGAAGATCTACCTTACACTACAACACAACTAATATTATTTATAATATAGGTTTATGGGTCATATCGCGTTATTTATAAATGTGTTGTAACCCTCCACCACCCGACACGGCCAAACAGTAAAAATATGTGTCACGTTTTCAAAGGACAAAATAATTCACTTCTTTAGCCCACCGGTGTGCTGAAGAGAGGATCAACAGCATTTTAAAATTTGAGTACGACGTTTCGCTGATAATTACAATCAGCTTCATCGGGCAAGAATGGTGAAGCTGTCCTGTTGCTTCCGTTCTTAAATAGAGCAGCATCAGGGTGACGTCTCATTTAATTCAATTCAATCTGGTGCAGTGATTCGAGGCAAGGAGGGGGGGGGGGTATTGTAATTATATAGATTGGTAATCATTCAATTGTTACTCATTGGTATTTGTTTCCCTTATAAGGAATTGTTGTTAAATTGACCAACAACTAATATTGCCTCAACATGCAAACACTATTTGTTATTACAGGGAGAGAGACACTGCAAACTACAAATATACAGCAGCCGTCAGGGTCGGAATCCAACTCACGACCTCCTGCATACCAGTCGAGGGAGTTAACATCTCCTAGCCACCACGGCGCCCCTCCCTAACGTGAGACACCAATCCGGTGTGAACCCAACCTCGAGTCTCAGGCTGTTTAGCAACACGTAGATGATTTTGGACGCATTGATTATATCGTACCAGTTGTGTACTTGTGTGAATGCTAATCTCATTGTGCTCTGGGCTGTGTGTGAGCTTTCTAATTGCTTCATTGCTAGCATCGGTTTGACTTGTTTTGCTTTTTTCATTTTTGTGACCCAGGTCACTCTTGTCAATGAGACTCATCCTGATCTCCTGAGTTCTCACCTCGTTGAACTCAAATTCAACTCGACTCGATCATCATCAGCATCAGCAGAAGTGTCATCTGCAGCAGAATTAGTAACAGCAGCAGAACCTACAGCATCGGCAGCGGTAGCTCCATCATTAGCATCATCATCGTCAGCATCAGGAGTAGTACTAACAGCATCAAAATAATATAAGCATTTTCAGCAGCAACAGAATTATCACCATCAGCAGTAGAAGCAGCGAATGCAGCAGCAATCACTCTTACAGGCGAGACTCATCCTGGTCTCTTGAGTTCTCACCTGGTTAAACAAATTGACTTTAACACGTAGGCTTTCGCGACCAATATTATCAATAATAAAGGTTTCTTGGGTTAGATCTCGTAAATATACATAGACTTGATTGTGTTCTGGGTTACCTGTGAATTGGAATCACATTTTATTGTGGGTCAAGGGTCCATGTGTGTGTGGTGATGAATAAAAACATTAAATCTGAACATCAGTTTACTGTGCTGGGATGTGTGGGCTCATGTGTGGGTGAGTTAACCTCGTCTCTTTGTAGCTGGGCGATGGCAGTTTGACATCGTGATATCAGTGGTGGCTATGCACGTTGTCTGTAATCCCGCACTGTGGAGGCGAGGGTTGGAGGGACCCCTCGAATGTTGTGAAGCCCACTTCCCGAGGGAGCCGAGGAGGTGCCGTTCCCAGGTTGGCTCTGTCAGGAGAACCCCGTACAGCAAAGTGTGGACTAAAATCTTCTGTCCCTTCTGTATGGCATAGAGTGTAGCGCCGTTTCAAGCGCAGGTTTTCTCCGGGTCCTCCAATTTCTTCCCACATTCACTCACACAAACATTCATTGACTAAAGACATCTTAATATATCTAGAGGAGCGCAGAGATTTGGTAATAAGTTTAACACGTAGGCTTTCACGACCTAATATCATCCATAACACATTTTTGGGGGGGTTAGAACACGTAAATATATAAATGATGAAGCTAGTTGTAATTACTGGTGAAACGTCGTACTCAGATTTTAAATGTTGTGGCTTGGCTGTTCAACACACCGGTGTGCTGTACTATTAACAAATTAGCATGTTCTATTCACGTGACAAACCTTACTAATTGGCTGTGTCGGGTGGTGGCAGGTTTATTGACACATTTATATATTTACGTGATCTAACCCAAAGAAAACCTGTATTATAGATTTGGCAATCGTTGGTGAAGCCAGCTAATAACCACCTGACTGATGCTTTCCCGCTTGCCTCTGGTTCCTGGACGATCTTGAGAGATGTGCTTTGTACACGTAATGTCATCAGAATGGAATCTCACGAAAAACCGATGACATACGCATACGTCATCGAAATAGGTTAATATATACATCAGCTGAACGATCGCAATCATATGCATGACTCCATATGTACCCAACATATTCAAGCTATGTGTACTATACTCTTTTGATCTTTTGGTAAAGTCACGTAGGTATAAAAATAATAGATCACAACGTTTCGATCGCAACACAAGCAATCGTCATCAGGTGGGACAACCACGGCAAGTAAAAAACTGCTGAAGTAGGCGAGAGATCTGCCATGGCACGAGGTCATATAGGCCTCAGCAGTAGGGGGGTAGTGTATAGTGTAGTTTATAGTGTAGTGTATAGTGTAGTGTATGGTGTAGTGTATAGTGTCGTGTATAGTAGTGTAGTGTATAGTAGTGTAGTGTGTAGTGTACTGTATAGTGTAGTGTATAGTGTAGTGTAAAGTAGTGTAGTGTATAGTATAGTGTGTAGTGTAGTGTATAGTGTAGTGTATAATGTATAATGTAGTGTATGGTGTAGTGTATAGTGTAGTGTATGGTGTAGTGTATAGTGTAGTGTATAGTAGTGTAGTGTATAGTAGTGTAGTGTATAGTGTAGTGTATAGTAGTGTAGTGTATAGTAGTGTAGTGTATAGTGTAGTGTAGTGTGTAGTAGTGTAGTGTATAGTGTAGTGTATAGTAGTGTAGTGTGTAGTGTAGTGTATAGTGTAGTGTATAGTATAGTGTGTAGTGTAGTGTATAGTGTAGTTTATAGTGTAGTGTATAGTAGTGTAGTGTATAGTAGTGTAGTGTATAGTAGTGTAGTGTATAGTAGTGTAGTGTATAGTAGTGTAGTGTATAGTAGTGTAGTGTATAGTGTAGTGTATAGTGTAGTGTATAGTGTAGTGTATAGTGTACTGTATAGTGTACTGTATAGTATAGTGTATAGTAGTGGTGTATAGTGTAGTGTATAGTGTAGTGTATAGTGTAGTGTAGTTTATAGTAGTGTAGTGTATAGTGTCGTGTATAGTGAAGTAGGCGAGAGACCTGCTGTGGCACGAGGTTATATAGTAGGCTTCGTCAGTAGGGGGGGAGAGAGAAGGGGGGGGGGAAGGAGGCGGGGCAGAAAGTGGACCCCGCAGCAGCACCCGGGTCACTGGAGTAGAGATCGGAGAGAGATGCACAGAGAGAGAGAGAGAAAGACACACAGAGAGTCGGAAATAACAGCTGACATAGGCAGGCAGGATGGAAACATCACTGTCAGTTAAGATTTTACCTGGTTAATAACGTCCTTCCAATGATTGCTCAGTTTGTACCCATCCTCTCGGTTGAAGTTGTGTCTGTGTTTATATATCTGGATGGCTTCATGAACAAATCTCTGATAATAGCCAGTGGGTTTGCAGAGTACCTTCGTCTTGGAAAAGTAAATTTCGTGTCAGCCCACAGCGTTAAAACAATTATCAGCAACAGCAGAGGTATTGGTCCTACCATGTTTCAGATCTGCCTTGTGTTCGCGAACGCGGTCCGAGACATGTCGTTTTATTTCCCCAATGTAACTGCTGCCGCAGCCACAACTCAGTTTGTAAACAACCGGGTATTGCATATCAGGAATCACATCCTTTACAGTTTGGATCAAATCACGAATTTTGTGTACTGTGTTCAAACGAACCTGGATCTTGTGTTTGTTTAAGATTTTGGAAAACTTTTTGGTAACCCCTGCTATGTATGTCAAAAGAACATGCGTTTTCAGGACAGCTTTGTATTCCTGCGAGACTTGGAGATTGAAAAAGACTGACAAAGATAAGGTATTGACACTCAAAATGTATTGCTACAGAAGGATCCTGCATCTAAGTTGGACTCAAAGACTGAACAACGTAGAAGAAATAAAAAAGGTTGCACAGAAGAAGACATATTGCAGGCAGCGGTGATAAGGAAACTGGCACTATTTGTACATTGTGGGATGGACAACAGCAGGAAAATGTAACGTCTGTTGTTCGGAAAAATGGAAGGAACAGGAAAGAGAGGAAGACTTAACAGAGAATGACTTAACGACGACATCATGAAGAGGTTGGTGCCTGAAAGATCTGGCACTACTTGAGGATATTAGCACAAGACGTAAGCAAGGGAGTTGACACCTACAGGCTATCTGCCCATGGATAGTGATGATGATCTTCAATGGAGCTTTGTACTTTCACACAAACAACACAGAAAATAAAGTTGACAGCTCCACAGGTGGAGGCGAATGGCGAAATCTATCAAACACAAACCGGGAGTGCCGCTCGCCCTGTAACCATGAAGACCGCCCCCAGCACCTCCCCCCAAATCTCAAGGGGGTTCAGGTTTTTGAGAATTGTCATTTTTGAATTAAGTACAGTACACAGTAGATGCTCAGGCTTTTCAAAGTTTTAATATGTGAATTAATGATAGTACATAGAAGAGGTTCAGGTGTTTCAGTTTTAATGTTTGAAGCACTGTACACGTCTTGATTTGAAGCTTTCGTGACTGCAGGAATCCATACTCTTTGGTTATTTCGGTAAAGTCACGTAGTTAGAAACTAACTACGTGATTTTACAGTACAGTACAAGTGTTGTGTTGTTACAGTATATCTGTCAACCCCTTATCAGTGGCTTCTTTATTACAGACCAATTCAGACCTTATTGGTAACCCCGTGTCCCTTATAAATCTCAACGTTCATCCTACAAAGTCTCATCCCAGGGGACAAAACACAAACAAATAGACACAAAAATGTTGCCCATTTTGAAACGGCTGTACACCGTATGGACCTGAAAACTCAATTTCCCTGTACAAGAATACGGGTAAACCGTATGGGTTGACGGGTATGTTACACGTGTAGACAAACCTAGCTTTGATGTCATGGTAAACAAGGGGCGGCTCCAGAGCTATGGTTCGAGTTGAAGTGAGTCACGCTTTGTGGTTGTTCCCCATATTGTTATTATTACGAAATAGTTTTTATGACTGGACCATTTTTGAGTGTGATAATATTACACTACACAAATTGATAAGGGGCCGAATTTAGGAATATACTACATGGTTTAAACAGGGAAGTACAATACAGGAGTACATTAGGTTTCCTGCACAGTAAATCACATCGCAGGAGCACTCCTCTATCCGAATTCACAGCAACAGGAGCCCCACTTCTGAGCAGGAGGCTCGATGACTATCCCGTGTTAATTTACTTATTTTTCTTGCGGATCTTGTGCTCTAACTGTATGCCAGTCCCGTGTACTGTAGAATCATTAGCTAAGTAAATACACCCCTTTTGACACAGTTCCCCTAAGCCCTTTCCCCTCAGGAGAGATCCTTCCTCCACCTCAGCCAATCTTACAGTCGTTCACGAACAGTATTTGCCCCAACATTCTGTTGAAGCCTATATGGGGGATATTTGTATTGTGTGTGTATATGTTTGTGTGCATGAATCTGTGCATTGTGCCTGTTCTCTACGTTGGTTAGACTCCGTGCTCTGAGGACGCACGACTCAAATCCAGAATCCTCACTGAGTCACCTTCACCCCCCAAAGTGCGTGGAAGAGAGGCTGACTAAATGAGTGGTGAATCACGTGCAGCAGCTCATTAGAGTCGGCGTGATAAAACGACAGTAGCACCGCCTCCCAGTGCAGGTGACACCCAAAGTTTTCAAAGTTTCAAAGTTTATCTATTAGGTATAGCCCTGTGAGCCATTCAGCTCTTGAATCGGGTGCAACCGCAACAAACAAAAAACAAAAACATGAACGAGAAAACATCTTAAAGTGACTCTGTGCAAACAGAAAATCCAAGCAAAAGACAGCAAGATATTGCAGAAAAATCACTGTACACCAACCCTGTGCAAATATCCCAGTGGGATGCAAGTCAAACAACAACAACCACAAGACAACTTATATTAAGACCAACTCCCCGGGTAGGATCCCTCACCGAGACTGAGGTCGCTATATCACCATGATACACTGATCAGCTGTTGCCACTTTTCCTAAAATCCCAGGATGAGTCGTTTTCTCAGTACAGTACAAGTGTTGTGTTGTTACGGTATATCTGTCAACCCCTTATCAGTGGCTACTATATTACAGACCAATTCAGACCTTATTGGTAAGCCTATATGGGGGATATTTGTAGTGTGTGTGTATGTTTGTGTGCGTGAATCTGTGCATTGTGCCTGTTC